TGGTAGTCATTCGTTCTAGATGAAGGTGGAATCTTAGTGTTGTTCTAACTTGCATTTCTCTAATGGCCAGAGATGTGGAACAGTTTTTCATGTATTTATTGACCACTTGTACTTCTTCTGAGAAGTATCTACTCATTTCTGTTGCTTATTTTTAAAATTAGGTCTTCTATTTAGGGGTATAATTTTTTGAGTTCTTTATATACCCAAATATTAGTCCTCTGAGTTATCATGGTAAATTTTTCCCCCTTTCATAGGCTATCTATTTACAACATAGGATGTCTCTTTTCTGCATTGGTTGCTTCCTTTGAGGTGTATAGGATTTTTAATTTTAATTTTAATTTCTAACTTGCTGATTCTTGATGTTATTTATTGTGCCACTGAAGGTCTGTTCAGAAAATCCTTGCTTATGCCTGTGTCTTTAAGAGTTTTACCATTTTATCTTCTAGCAGATTAAGTGTTAATGCTTTAACATTTAGACCTTTAACTCATTTTTATTTTAGTTTAATACATGGTGAGATATATGGGTCTGGATTCAATCATCTGCATGTGTATACCCAGTTTTCCCATTTATTAAATAGGCTATTTTTTCTCCAGCATATGCGCTTGGCCTCTTTGTCAAGGATCAGATAGCTGAATGTGCCTGGGGTTGTTTCTGCATCCTCTATTCAAACAAACTACATGTTTATTTTTGTGCCAATACCATGCTACTTTTATAACTGTAGCTTTATAATATAATTTGAAATCTGGGATTGTGATGCTTCCTGATTTTCTCTTACTGCTCAGGAGTGTTTTTGCTATTCTGAGTCCCTTCTGGTTCCACATGAATTTTAAGATTATTTTCTTAGCATTTCTGTGAGAAGTGATGATGGCATTTTGATTGGGATTACATTAAATCTATATGTGATTTTTTTTGTTTGTTTGTTTGTTTTTTGTTTTTTGTTTTTTTTTTTTTTTGGTTTTTCTCTGGTACCGGGTATATGTGATTTTTGGAAGTTATTAATTTTGACTTCATTGGTTCTGCCTATCCAGGAATAGGAGAAAATTATAGACATTAAAGCAAAAAATAAAAAAAAGGAAATTGTGAGAAACAAAAATCAATGAATTAAAGAGCTCATTATTTAAAAGAACAAAGTGACAAACTTTAGCCAATCTTACCCAAAAAAGGAAAGACCCAAATCAATTAGAAATGAAATTAGAAAAGAAAAAAGTGAAATCACAACAGACCCTACCAAAATTTAGAAGATTATTAGCAGTTACTTTGAAAATCTGTATGCCAATAAATTAGAGAATTCAGAATAGGTGATTCCTAGATACATATGAATTATCAAAACTGAACCAAGAGCACATAGAAACCCTGAATAATCCAGTAACAGGCAATGAAATTGAAGCAACAACAACAAAAAAGCACAATAAAACAAAAAATCTTACCAACTAACAAAAGCCTGGGTCCTGATGAATTCACTACTGAACTCTATATAAACTTCAGAGAAGATCTAATGCCAATACTCCTCAAATTCTTTAATGAAATTAATAAATTTTTAAATCTTTTATCAAGATAAATAATTGAGCTTCTTTTTGATAATATGAATGGCTCTAGTATTTGTGGTTTCAGGTCAGAATGTAGTTAAAACAAATTTCAAATACATTAGACATCTAGAACTACACATTCCACCACTGTGACCTGTAACTAATGTTCTTAACTCATGTGAAGTAGAAGAGAATTGAGATGGACAATGTGTTTCCTAATTTTATGTATAAATACTCTCAAAGATATGAATTCTCTTGGTACCTGTCAGATCATGGTAAGGTGTTAACTTTTTGTCTCTGACAAAATACCTGAGGTAATTAACATTAAGGGGGAAAGATTTATTTTGACTCAATGTTTCAGAGGTTTCAGTTTATGGTTTCAGTACACTGCTTCTGGGCTTGTGGAGAGGTATCTACACAGTGGAAAGCATATGGTGGAGAAAAGCTGCTTATTTCATAGTGATAAGGAAGGGAGAGAGAGGAGAGGGAGGAGGTTAGGATGGAGGGGAAGAGAAGGGGGAGAAAGGAGAAAGAGAAAGAGAAGAGGGAGGGAAGGGGAGAGGGAGGGAAGAAGAGAGGCGAGGGAGAGGAAGGTAGGGAAGAGAAAGGAGAAAGAGTAGAGGGAGGCAGAGGAGAAAAAGAGAGGGAGGAGGAGAAAGAGGGGAGGAGAAGGCAAGGAGAGGGGAAGGGAAAAGAGGGGAGGGGAGGGGAGGGAGGCTGGGCTCCTAATATCCTCTTTAAGGGCATGCCTTCAATGACCTAATTTCCTTTCCATTCCACTATGCTCCACCTCCTAAAAGCTCTGCCATCTCTGAGTAGCTCCAGACGCTGGCAACTCAATCTTCAGCAATGGGGACATTTAAGATCTGAACTATAACAAGGGGGAGACTACTGTGTTGCATCTCTGTAGTTATCATTTCATGAGCTTGACATTCATTATCTTTAAGCATGTATTCAAATATTCTGCTCATTTTCATACTGGGTTGTTTGACTTTTTATTGAGTTATATGTGTTCTTTATATATTGTACATATTTTTTCAGATATATGTTTCACAAGTATTTCCCAGGGTGTAGCTTGCCTTTCCATTTCATCCAACAGTATCTTATTTCCTGGTATGGGGGATCAAACACAGGGCCTACACACTGAGCTACATCTGCAGCTCTCTTTAAAAATTTTTCATTTTGCTAAATTGCTTAGGTAGCTTAAACTTGTGATCCTATCACCTCAGCTTCCCAGAGTGCTGGGATTCAGGTATGCACCACCATGCCTGCCTAAGCAGTATCTTTTTAAAAGTAAGTCTGTAATTTTAATAAAGTCAAATGAATTTTCTTATTTCTTATTTTGCACTTTTTAGCTGCTTCAGGAACTTTTGCCAAACCTTTAAGGAAAACTAAGATTTCTCCTATGTTTTCTTGGAAATAGTATTGTATCTTTTGATTCATAAATAGGGAATATATAGTCACTTAGAGCTTAAATTTCTCTCAGGCTTATTTTGCAATTTTCAGTATCCCATTCTTACACATATTTTGTCAAACTCATCCCTCAGTATTTCATATTTTGATGTTATTATAAATATTTATAAATTTTGCATTTCTGATTGTTAGTATATAGGAATTGACTTTTTAAAAATAATTTGGATTCTGCTTTTTATTTTATTTTTATTTTTATTTTTTGGTACTGGGAATCGAATTCATGACCTCAGGCTTGCCAGGCAAGCACTTATGCCGCTGAGCTATATCCCCGGCAAAATTGACTTTTAATACTGACCTTGTAGTCTGCAATCATGCTTAACTTTTTTTAGTTTTTACAGCATTTGTGTAAATTTCTTAGGATTTTCCATGTCATGACTACCAAGTCATTATGAACAAAGTTACTTCTTTTCAATCTGTAGGCACTGATTTAATCATTATTATTTTTTCATTACTAAATGGTGAGAACTCCAAGCTCAAAGTAGACTATAAGTAGTATTAACAGAAATCCTTGCTTTTTCCATTTAGGGAGAAAACTTTGTTTTCACCTGTAAGCATGTCAGCTCTTGGTTTGTTAGTTTATCTTTTAGATGACATTTATCAGATTGAAGCATTTTGCTTCTATTCCATCTGCAGAGATTTCATAAATAATAGAAGTTGAATTTCTCAAGTGGCTTTTTCTGCATCTACTGAGATGCTCATAGGGTTTTTTTTACTGTGGCAATAGAATCAATTACATTAGTTGGTTTTCAAATGTCACGCTAATCTTCCATTCCTGGCATATATTCTACTTGGGTAGGATGCACCATTTTTCTATATATTGCTAAATAATTTTTTCATCAATTTGCATGGGGCATGTAAGTATGTAGTTATTGGTTTAAGAAAACTATTATTATTTTGTTTCCTTTGGCTTTAGCAACAGGTAATGCTGTGCTCTTAGAATAGGAGGGGAAATGTTCCCTGCAGTCTATGTTCCCTAAGTCTAGTTTGGGTAGAATTGGTACTGTTTCTTCCAGAAATATTTGGTGGAATTCATCAGTGAAACCATCTGGGCCTAAAGTTTTTTTTTGTGGCAGCCTTTATAAAATTTTCTTTTATACTTGGATATAGGGCTCGTCTGATGTTTTGTCTTCTTGGGTTATGTTATGGATTAAGTATTTGTGACGCTCCCAAAAATTCATGTTGAAGCCCTCATCCCAGTGTGGTTCCAATTGGAGGTGGTTAAAGTGAGAGCCTAAGAGTGGGGTCTTGATCCTGCAGGACAGTGTATCCTTCTAAGGATGAGCAGGAACATCAGGGGGCACCTTCACCTCCTCCAGCACCACTGAGGAAGAGTCATGCGAGAACATAGTGAGAATATGGTCGCTGACAAGCTGGGAAGACAGCCCTCACCAGCAATCAGATCAGCGGGAAACTTGATTTTGGACTTCTACCCTCTCGAATGATTAGAAAACAGATTTCTGGTTTAAGCCACTCCATCTATCATGAGTTGTTACAGAAGCCTAGCAGTGGTAGTTTTTTGTTGCTGTTTTTGCTTATGAAAAAACACATTTCTACATTTTCAAATACATTGGCATTAGTTGTTCATATTTCCTTATTGTCCATTTAATGCCTCTTAGATCTGTAGTGATTTACCATCTACCATTCGTTATTTCTGATTTATGTCTTTAACTATTTTTTAGTATGGCTAGAGATTTATGGGTGTTTTTTTTCTTTTTTTGGTACCGGGAATTGAACTCGGGACCTTGAGCTTGCCAGGTAGGCGCTTATGCCGCTAAGCTATATCCCTGGCAAGATTTATGAGTTTTATTGCTGTTTTTAGGGTACCAGCTTTGCCTCCCTTAAGTTTCTGTTTACATGGCACTGTTTCATGACATTAACAATCATCTGTTTTCAGTTATTTTGCATTTTTCTTTTCTTCTGTTTTTAACATAGAAACTTCAGTCATTGAATTGTATTCTTTTAATAGTTTATGTAAAATTTGACTTTAACCTCTGATTTAGAAACATCTGGGCATGGTGACACACGCCTCTAATCTCAGCACTTGGGAAGCTGAAGAAAGAGAACTGCAAGTCTGAGTGACAGCCAGATTGGTCTACAGAGTGAATTCAATGCCAGCACCTCACCTCCAAAAAGGTACATCCTACACATTTATAGGTTACATTTTAAGTTTCATTCATTTAAAAATATTTCTGGTTTTGGCTATAATTTCTCCTTTGATTCAAGTGCTTAGAGATTTTTCCAGAAACTCTTTTTAAGATGGATTTAGTCCCATTGTGTTCACAAAACAATTTGTCCATATATTTTTTTAGGTCCAAAATATAGTCTGCTTTGGTGCATGTACTCTGCCCAACAGAGTCTCTCTGCTTTCACCTTTCTAAACTCTAACTTCTGCCTCCTTAATTTAGGGAAACCTGGGCTTTGTTCTGACCCAGCCTCTCCACCCCACACCGTGCTATTGCTGTGCGGTAAACCCAAGGAGTCAGAGCCCTTGTTTGTTTCCCTTCTTTGGTAGCACTGGCCTTGTTGTGTGTGGCCCACTGTTAGAAAATCTCTGGTTCGTGCATTTTGTCTAGTGTTACACCGTGGTCAGAAGTGTAGTCAAATTCCTTTTTTTTTTTCACCCTTAAAAGCTATTTTTGCTAAGTATATAGTTTGGATATGGTTTGAGTGCCCCCAGAGCTTCGTGTGCTGGGGCTTGGTTCCTAGGGTAGTGGTTAGATGGTGTGGACCTGACTGAGGTGGGGCCCCGGGAAAGGTCTGTAGGTCACCATGGGCCCTCAGAGTGCTTCAGGGTAAAGCTCTTGACAGGGTTACTACAGAAGCCTGAGCCTGAGAAATGGTTTTTGGGGTTTCAGCCTTCCAAACAAGCGAAACAAACCTCTTTGCTTTATTCTGCCTCAAGTGTTTTATTATAGTAACAAGAAAGACTAATACAGCATTAATTCTGGATGACATACATTTTTTTGCGTCCACTCAAGGTATCATTTCAGTTTCATTTCTACCTTTCAGAAAGTGACAGTAAGTCTTTGTCATTGCTTTGAAGGTTGCATTTTTAAATTTTTTGACTTAATGTTTATAATTTCAGTTGAAGGAGACTAAGTGTATTTCTTTGACTTTATCCTGCCTGAAACTCACTGAGCTTCTTTAACCCATGGATTGATGTCTTGCAGTAGCTCTGAAGAACTCTCAGCCTTCCTCTCTTTAATCAATTACTTTGCCCCATTTTTTCTCTGGGACACCATCAAACACGCAGAGATCTTCTCACTGAACTGATGACTCTTCTGCTTTCCCGCTTTTTTCTCTGCCACATTACAGATCATGTTTTCCAATGTGAAGATTATCTTTCCTGCCTCGGGGCCAATCACGTCCAGTGATTTTCAATTTTGATTATTGTATTTTTCATGTATATGAATTCTATTTGGCTCTTCAAATGTGTATCTTTAATGTTTTCTTTCCTCATAAGAACATTTTTAAAACACAAGCAGTTGTTTTACAATATATCTAGTACCTAAAGCCTGTTAAGATCCTAATGCTGCTACTTCCTACTTGCTGTCTTGATTTCTTGTGTATCGTTTTATCTCTGCTACCATGTTAGCCATTGGTCATGAAAATACATTTATGGTGCTTTTCAAGCCACAAAATAAGTGTGCCTTCCTTCTGAGAAGCACTGGATCAGCGTCTATAAGGTTCCAGGGGTGACTGCTATTTAGGGGGCACCTCATATTAAGTTAGAATCTGAAGTTTCCTGGCCTAGTTAGGTTTTGGTGTTCAAGGCTCAAAATCTTTTGAAGCTGTATTTACAGCTTCAGGTCTGTATTTACAAGTTTTATTTTTTTTGGTGTGTTTTAATTTCTTCTTATAGTCCCTAAATCTGGCACTCAAAATGACATCCTCACACAATCTTAAAAGCTCCATCTAGTGATAAGGGTTAGAATATGTGTTTACTTATAAGGAAAAAACTTTTACCATTTAAAAGCTGCTGGGTATGGTGGTGCATGTCTACAATCCCAGCACTTGGGAGGCTGAAGCAGAAGGATTGCTGTGAGTTCAAGGCCAGCCTGGGCTAAAGGTCATGTCTCAAAAAACAAAGACACAACAAAGACAAAACGACACCCCCCTAAACAACAACAAAACACCAAAAAAAAAAAAAAAATCAAAATTAAGTAAAAAAAAAAATCCGTTTTCAAAAAAAGCAGCAAGATATATCATGTACAGGTACAAATTCCCTATGATGAATGTTATCATTATGTGTATCTTAAATGTACCAATAAAATTAAAAAAAATTGTTTTCAGTAAGAAAGTTACTGTACTATTCGCAGAGAAATAGGAAGAATCTACAAAAACTGCTAAGCATTAATGCTAAATGTACTTTTTCCTATCAAATTTATTCTTGTGATAGTTAACTGTTGTATCAACTTGAGTAAGAAACTCCCAGCTGATCGGGGTAGGTAGTTCTGGTGTGTCTGGATGATGGCCTTACTGAAGAGGGAAGATCCAGCCTGGGTATAAGTGGCAACAACCAACACACTTGCAGCCGGGATGGAGTAAAAAGGGAAAGAAGAAGGAAGTCTTGCTTCTGCTTCTGCAGAGTGCTCCAGTCTTCACCATTGCCTTTGGATGTCTGTCTCCAGGTTTCCAGCACAGACTCTCCAGCCTTGCAACACAGACTACTCAGCCTTCCAGTGTAGGCCCTTTGGCTTTCCAATATGGACGCCAATGGGACTCCGCAGTGAGCTCCAGATCTTCCACCTGGAGTTGACTGGACTGTTCAGCTCTTCAGCATGCAGATGGCTCTTCTGTGTTCTCCCACACCTGACTCTGCAGGCAGCCACTGTAAGCCTATCTTATAAACTGTATATGTGTGCAGTGTGCCAAAAAATATATACACACACTTCAGGAAAAGAAAAACATGTATAAATATTTTAATACACAGCACCATTGACTCCCAATAAAGTGACTGCTTTGTCATATGCATGTTAGGATTTTCATGATGTCTCAATAAAGAAATAAATAAATTAATTTTTTTGGTACTGGGAACTGAACTCAGGACCTTGTGCTTGTCAGGCAGGAGCTGTGCCACTGAGCTACATTCTTGGCCCCTATCTCAATAAATTTGGTACTAAAACATTTATACAAGCTTTTTCTTTTTTTGGTCTTTTTTGAGGCAGGGTCTCACTCTGCAGTTCAGGCTGGCCTTGAGCTCACTTTGTAACCAAGGCTGGTCTTGAACTCACAACGATCCTCCTGTGTCAGCCTCCAGAGTGCTGGGATTACAGGCGTGCACCACCACATCTGGCTATACAAGTTTTTCTTCTCCCGAAATGTATATATGTATATTTTTTGTGTGGGATCATTTATACGATTTTATATGAGTACATATATGTGTCTATATATATATATATATATATATTTCTTTTTTACTCTTTACAGAAGATAAACTTCTTTTTTATTCTTTAAAGAAGAAGAAAAATGTGCAACTAATAGCATCGTGTAAGACCTACTGACTTAACCTTGACCCTTTACGTAAGTGGCTTAATTTCATGCCACAACCCGATGTTTTTGCCTGATAAATGGAGATAAGACGAAAGTATCCTGATAATTCCTTTTAGAGCTAACATTCCATGAACTACGGATGCATCCACATCTTACCACTGACATCCACAACAGACTTTACTGAATGATGACAGCTCTCTTGTCCATTTGCACAGCCTTTCTACAGAAACACTCCAGAGCCATTCACCCGCAACTGCCTAGACGGGGCACAAATCTTGTTTGCAATCCCTATCTCCGTCTATATGACATCTTTTGAAGTATGGGATAAAGCAGCTTCGTTTCTACTGTGTTACACCACTATGTGCTTTTCTAGTAGTTAACAAATAATGCCGCCAATAATTCTCACCTTGCAGGACTGTAGATAATTAAAGTATACAGGGGCTGGGGATTTAGCTCAGCAGCAAAAGCGCCTGCCTGGCAAGCGCAAGGTCGTGAGTTTGGTTCCCGGTACCGGAGAAAAACCAAAACCAAAAACAAACAAACAAAAAAAATAAGTATACAATTCAAATGTTCCTCTATTAAAAAGGTGATAATCAGGGACAAAACCAATTATTCTGAGCTCTGTACGAAAGCATTTTATTGAGAAAAGTGCTAATAAATAAAGACAAGCAATGATTTACTTCAGGTAGATAATAAAAATTTAATAGTAATATAAAATAAACATATAAAATCAACTGTTTAGTTTTAGATGTTAGAAAATAATATACATAATAAAGTCAACATAGTACTGATAGTGCTGCAAGATAAGATTTTATTTTTCAAATTATAGATTATGCCAATCAGGCTGCTTTGTACGCAGAGGTTCAAAAATTTTGCTTTTATCCCTAAAAACATCTGGACGGTAGGCTACTCTATGAAACCATGTAATCCTTGGTGGAGTGTAACTGAAGCTGTGTGACCGTCATCTCAATAACCTAAGTAAATCCTCTCACAATGAAAATAGAAATGGCAAACATTTACTCACATTAGTCACCAAAACTGTCACTGTCAAAATAAAAATGATTCCTTTTTCTTCCTTAACCTCATGTTGCCACTGCAGGAGAGGAAGTAACAAACCAAAAGGTAACTTTACGCTATATGCTAGGTCAGTGTTAACATTCACAGCCTAATTTTTAAGACATAATATTTTTGGTCCTCTAAAACAAGTAGAATTAACCAACTTTTTAAATATCAGGAAATATAATTATGTGAGGCATTTGTAATCAAATCTTTCAGTGATTTGTGAAACTTTCTGCAGCCTGTTTCCACTCAGCTAGTTCAGGAGACACTCTGGTTGAAAAATGACTTGAGAATATAAACTTCAAAGCTAAAAATTCCACTTCAGAATGTAAAGATTTAAGTAGAGCCCTTGACAAGGTTACTCTGCAGAATTGCGGGCCAGGACGAAAACAAGCGCTACAGAGAAGGGTAAAAAAAGAAAAGGGCCCTGGTTAACTACTTAAATGAAAATCACAGGCAGGTCTCTTATAACAGAGGTAATTCCTTCAATCTAAAGACATTTACTGAGAGTCAAAGCTACCTTACTGCACGGTAAATCTTCAAAATCAGTAAGTCCAGTTCTGGGTCAATGCTGCTTATGCTCTGGTTGCTGACTGGATCGAGTATATATGATACATTACTTAACTACAAAATTCAACAAACAAAATAGATAAAATGCTAGACTCTTAACTGACAAATTATGTTTTTCCATCTTTTTTCAGGCAAGAAGCATGCTCATCTTAAATCTGGAATTTCTTATAAATAATCTATATTTCCCACTGAAGCTTCTTATTCTGATGAGCGAACTTCAAATGCTTTCATACAGCTGAGGATTAAAGAAAGTCCTGAGGATTATTCATCATTATCTGTAGAGAACAGAAAAAAATTCACTTCATTTCAAATCAGATTGCATTTGTTTAGTTAAAAAAACCTTTCTTTTTCACAATAAAGGAAAAGAGACTTAACGCAGTTTTAAACGCAGTTTTCATTACTACAGTGCATACCGATAAGACACTCACACAATGTAAGAAAGAATAAAGTGGGAAGCAAAAAAATCATCAGAGGACAACCAATGCTAATAATTACCTATAAATCTTTCCAGGTTTCTTTACTATTTTTATCTTTCAAAAATTATACCAAAATACAGTTTTGAGACTGAGTTTTTCCATTTAAAATACATTATGAATGGAAAGAAGGATAAATAAGATCAACAAGATGGTAAAGAAAGAGTAAAAAGTGTCAATGGCAGCATTCCAAAGTAGGTATAGGCAACCGCTGTAAAGTTTCCAACTTTTCCGTATGAAAAATATAAATCATGGCTATTTCACATCAACTTCAGCATCTCTACATGGTTACGGTGTAACGTACCTAACTGTTTCTATCTGTATATGTTTTGGCTCTCGCTCTCCCTTCCTTTCTCCTTCCCTTTCTCTTTTTTTTTCCTTCCTTCCTCCTTTCTTTTCTTTCTTTTTCCCTCTCTCCCTCTCTCCCCCACTTTCTCCCTCTTCGTCTCCCTTCTGTTTTCTTCTCCCTTCTCTTTCCTTCTCTCTCCCTCCCTGCTTCCCTTTCCTCTCTTCTCTCTCTGCCTGCCTGCCTGCCTCCCTGCCTGTCAGATCAAACCCAGGGTCTTGCACATACTAGACAAGTGCTCCAGCACTGAGCCACCTCCCAAGCCCAGCAGCCTGAAATGAATATGTAGTCTTTCTTCTTATGGTTTTCTACTTTCATTTAATTATATATACAACTAAACAAGGTTATTTAAAAATATTATGTAAGTGTATCGTACACTTATTTGACTATTCAATACATAGAAATTATCATTTAACTGCTGGACAGAATCATTCTAACTGCTGTGTAAAATCATCACATGAGCACAGTACAACGTTCCACCTAAAATGAATGTGGAGGGAAGGTATGTGTTTCCTTTTAAGAATCTATGAGCTTGGCTGCTAGTGCTACTACCCTGCGTGAGTATGTGGTGCCCCCCTGAGTCTACCATTGATCGCTGTTATACTCCTCTCCTTGTGGAGGAACCTACTGAGAGTAGTACTAACTTAAACACTGTGCTAGTTCCCTTTGACTTCTGACACTGGATAGTACCTCGCCATGGACTAATCAACACTAGCCTTATTCAAGGTACAGTTACTGATGCTTACACCAAACCTCCACTGAAACAGTACCAGGGAAATTACATTGTTTAGACTGTCTTTTCAGGACTCAATTACCAGTGAAATGAAACAGAAATGTGCTTAAACATATGTTAATGACTTGATACTACTTTCGAGTCAGCCAGGTAAAATTTTAAAAGGCAAAAGATTTATACGATCTGAGGAGAAACCAGAGAATAGATAAAATTTTATACTTTCTACCTTCTTGCCCTCCCATCCAATACAGAGAATAAAATGTGTAATCATCATATGGTTTTATTATCTCCATATATGGGCTAAGAAACATTTACAAGATTGCTAAGATATTGGTCAGATTACAGACCAATTTATACTTTAAATCCAGTCATCGTCTAACCTTTACCTACCTGATAATTAATCATAAAAAAGAGCAAGCTAACTTTCTTGAATAATGCAACATACATTTTACAACTAGTTTATGTAGTGGCTATATTAGTATGTTATACCATTTTATGAGCAATACTAAGATTCTTTAAAGGGTTACCCAAGTTTTTCCTTTTAAAGATAGCCATTTAATCGCTTTATGTTCTTTTTTCTAGGCTAAAGAACTTTGGAGTCCTGCCTATCTGTATGCTAGGGGAAAATGTGATACTGCTTCTCGAGAGATCTATGAGCCTGTCCTGATTCTTGGGCCTCTGAGGGGGCTAACTTTCTATGCAGGCATGTATTCTGCTGAAGCCACTCCGCTGTCTAAAGCGGTTGTCAATTTTACCTTGTGGCTCAGCTGACTATTACAGATCTCCATTTAAGAGGCAAAGCAAAATAAGAGCTCTCCAGAATACGTGACAAGCGAAGCTGAAGCCTAAGCCCACTGATGCTGGTCAGTGTGGAAGCTCCACGGAAAATGCTGTGGAGAACTGCCCGAAGGATGAACAGTCCAGATACAAACAGAACTGGTACGGTACTCGCCACAGATTCACTCACCTGGGGTCATCCTTGGGCCTCGTGCCAGTAACTTACACTATGATGTATTATGAGAAACAGACCCACGAAATCCAAATACTGTAAGAATTACTGAGGATATTTTTCACTGTAGTACTGTTTTTAGAAGGTGGAACCTAAGATCTTAATAAAATCAGAAATCCATAAATTCTAGATAATGCTTGCCTGGGGATGTGGCTCAGCACAACGGCCCTGGACTCAACCCCCAGAACCACAGGCAAACACACAAAATAGATTTTTATTGCAATGATAATCTTTTACTATCTAGAAAAATAAAACATCTGTATTATAGTTGTAATTCACAACTGACAGAAGTTTGCAAGACTAACACTTCAGTTTGTACTGGGGTGGATCTTTGGATTCTTGTTCCTAGAAAAAAAATTTTCCCCTTAAGTGATCCATATGTTATTCAAACTTGACCAGCACTGTATGTATGGTAGCTGCTTCTTTTCAGGACTTCATGAGAAATTTTTACATTGGTTTCCATACCAAAACTATCTGTCCTCTGAGCAACTAATATGCTTTGTCCCATGAACACCATGACTCATTTAATTCCTTAAGTTTCTTGCTTTGTAGAAAGGTCAAAACCAAATTTGCGTTTTGTCTTTACAGAATGTAGAGACATTTGGAGTATGTACTTTGCATTCTGACTTCATTCTTGGCTTCATATTATATTGCTTGCACTCATCTGCCAGATATGTTGACTTTTTCCAAATACTTTTTAAAATTTAATTTTATCTTATAAATTTTATGAAAATTTATATTGTTAGAATTTGACACCAACATTCAAAACCATCAATTTTAGTCTGTGCACAAACTGTAATATAGTAATGGGGTTAATTCTTCTGAAAATATTTTAAAAATAAATTCTTATTCAAAACTGTATACATTTATGTGTATAAATGTTTGTTATCATATCCTTGATAAGGATTATTCTGATTTGAAGAGTTATCCAGTTAGCAGGCTTTAAATTTTTAAAAATTTAAATGCTACTTATAAATTAAAAGATACTGACTTAACCTGTCCATAAAACTATATGACACGTCAGTAAAAATATATGGAAGTTAATTTTGTAGTTGCTTAAAAGCAGTATGTACGATTCTTACACTGATTTTGGTAAAATACACGTGATGTGAACTCAGCAATTTACATTTGTCATCTTCTTTTTCTCATATTTATTTAAAATATAAAGACATGTGAGAAGAATCTTACCTTCTTGATAGGCTCCATCTGCCATTACTAAATGAAGAATCTTGGCATAAAGATGCTGATGTTCATTTCCCAAAATATTCTGAACTACTGTTGAACAAATCTCAATATTTTCATCTTCATCTTCATGAATAGCCTACAAATTTCCAAATACAAATTAATATTGTAACACTAACTTTCTCTAATTGGAGATTTTACTTATTGTATATTGATGATAAATCTAATGACCAATAAAGATCATCAACATTTCTGCAGTATTCAAACAGAGCATACTTTGAAAGTGAATATTTTAATCAACATTTCACTTACTTTTATTTTCTCGTAAACCTCGAAAAACTTTTCAAAGCCCATTTCTTGCTCCAGGTGAAGTCTCAGCTCCTCTAAATGGTTGAAGACACTATCGTATTCACACTCACTTGTAGCCTCACCATCACTGTTATCTAAAAAAAATAAATAAATAAAATATATTTTATGATTACAAAAACAATAATACAGTCTTACCCTAGACTAAAATTCTAAAATTCTATGACATATGTATAGTGTCACTGAAGTACACAACTTACACTTTTAATATAAACAGTTGTCACTTGATGTAAACAGTAAATCAGATTAAAAATATTTCTAATGATTGCCACCATGCTAAAAAAATCCTAGATACATTATTTAATTTAGTTAAAAAAGGGAAAAATATACTTCTGTGCTCTATACTCAATCAGTCAGTTCTAAGAACTGTGTTTTAAAAGTTAATGATACACATGGACTATAACATCACAAAGCACCCAGAAGGCCGATGACTTAAGACACACAACATTTTGGGAAAACACTGGAAAATTATAAAACCCAATATTTTTGTTATGTACATACCAAATATATTTTGAAAGAATTACTGAACCATCTTTTTTCATATTAGTTCTGCATCCCAAATAGTTACTGAAATGCATGAACTTTATATGCATATTAATTAAGAGTAACACAAAAAATGGTTTCAAAGCAAAACAAAGTGTTAAAAATTAAGTTATCTTTATTACTAGAGAAGTAAGCCAAAAATGGAGAATAAGCAATAATAATAATCTATCAAAAATCATTGCTGTAATTTAATGGGAAAGAAATGGATCAGCTACATAAGCACATTTGTGTGAAAAGAAAAAAGGCAGGGACACAAAAGCATGCTTCAGTTTTCAAGTGGATATATATGGCTCATATCAGATATTAGAAAAGTACACTCTATTGAAATGTTTACTGACACTGAAAAAGAAAAAGGCCCGCAACCATGATCACGCACCTGAGTGCCACTCTTCGTTCAGGGCACTTTCACTGCTGGGATTGTCCTCCTCGTCGGCCAGATCTGTGCCATTTGCAGTCTGCTCTGCGTCACTGTTCTTGAAGACGGACTCGTCCTCCTCACTGCATTCTTCGCTAGGCTGCTCCCTCAGTAACTGCTCCATTGAGGCCTGAAGCTCTTGTAAATCTCGGTCGGTGTCTTCAAACACACTGTAATTTAGAAAATTAAACATCATTGAAACTTTACTGATTTAAAAATGCTACTTCAACTTAATATGTATGCATTTCTTTCTATTTAAAAGTACAAATCATAGATAAAAAGAAGTCTGAAAAAAGCTTACGTACTCATTAACAAGAAAATGAGAATGAATACAAATGATAAATATGACATGATAAATAGCACATTACACATATTCTTGAATACATAAGCCAGGAGGTGACTTGTTTACAATGGTCCTGATTTGCCAAAGAGAATCACATAACCATCAATATTATTCATTGCTTAAAACTTTTGAAACAATGTTGATATTTTAAGGAGTTAGGCTAAAGACATTTTTCACTTCTTTCTAGAACAAGTATTCAGTATTCAAATGTTCCTTTTATATAATTTTAAAGGTAGTCAAAGTCTTCATGTGGATATGTAACAGCTGTACATTATTTGAAAGGCTTCCCATGTAAATGCTCACTGGATATTTGAACTTTTAAACTCCTTAATGGTGCCAGGGATCGAACCCAGGGCTTCTCACATGCTAGGCAAGTGCTCTATTACTGAGCTACCCGCCAGCCCCGCACTTTCAGAAATGGAAATGTACGTCCAGGTTAACAGTATGATGCCGGAACCTGGTCTTTAGCTATATATTTTTAAAAATGTCTCTAAAATACACAGTAAATAGACTTTTCTGTGTAAGTAGAACATACTATCATAATACTCACTAGAGAATCTTATTTTCAAGGCATTGATCAGTGTATTATTTCTATTTTAATGGGATTATAAATACTGAAATTAATTTATACAAATAAGATAAAACAGGATAAAAACTGCTTAATAAACTAAAACACTGTATAAGTATATGGTAGTTTACATTTATATAGTACTTATGTTTTACATTAACAAGTATTTATTTTATTTACATAGTACTTTAGCTTATTAAGCAATTTCACCCTATTATTTGAATTTTAACCACATAAAAGTAATGTTAGGGACATTAAAACTATGAATCAAAGCATGTTTTCCCCTCAATAAATATTTTTATTAGTGTATGTTTGTGATATATAATAATTACATTCATTTTGGGGAATTAATATGCGCACACATACAGCATCTTGATCATATTTGGTCCTCTTTCCATCCCTTCTCCAGATGCCCACCCTTATCTCCTGCCCTGTTCCTTAACCTCTCTACTTAATTTTTCTCTTTATTTATAGTTTGAGTTTCTCACATAAAAGAGGTCATGTGATATTTAAGCTGTGTTTGGTTTATTTCACTTAACATCAGTCTCAAGATCCATCCATTTCTTACAGATGATTCAATTTATCTTTCTTTATGGTTGAGTAATACTCCATTGTAAACACACACACACACGCACACACACACACACACACCTTTCTTTACCCAGTCAACTGCTGATAGACACATAGGCAGTTTCCATAATTTAGTTACTGTAAATTTGGCTGCTGTAAACACAAGTATGCATATTATCACTGTAATATGACTTTAACTCTTATGGAAAGATATCCAGGAGAGGTATGCACAGCTAGGTAAAATGGAATTTCTATTTTCAGTTTTTTGAAGGAAGTCCATACTGATGTCCATTGTGGTTGTACCAGTTCACATTCCCACTAATAGTGCAGAAGGGGTTCCCTTATTCCCACATCCTTGCCAGTATTTGTGGTTTATTATTAAGTCTTTGATAGCTATTTCTGCAGTGTTGTTTTGTCTGGCCAAAGATGCTAAGCATTTTTTCGTGTACTTTTTCTTTTGAGAAGTGCCTATTCATTTCAGTTGACCATTTTTTGATTTGGTCTTTTTCTTTTTTTAAATTCTTTATATATTCTTGATATTAGTCCAGTATCAGAGAAGTAGATGTAAAAGAATTTTCCTATTCCATAGGTTGTCTCTTCACTGTTGACTGTTTTCTTTTTTTGTGCAAAAGCTTTTTAATTTGATATAATCCGAACTGTTGATTCTTGGAATTATTTCTTGAGCAACTAGGGTTCTGTTTAGAAGTCTTTGACTGTGCCCATGCCTTCAAGTATTTTACCTACCTTATCTTCCAGGCAAGTCATTATTTCTTTACTTATATCTAAGTCTTTGACAATTTTGATTTCATTTTAGTACATGGTGAGAGAAACAGATCCAGATTTTTATACATGTATAACCAGTTTCTCCAGCACGACTTGTTTAATACGCTATCTTTTCTCCTGTGTTTAAGTCCCTTTGTCAAAGATCAGATGTCTAAAAGTTCATTTGGCTGATTCTGCGTCTTTTACAGTAGACCCTTGACTTACGAACTCGATTCGTTCCGCAGGCTGGTTGTAACTCAAGTTGTCAACTGAAGGCTCAGGCTCGTCTACACAGCCTTCAGTCTCTCTCCTGTACAAAGGCGGATCTCAGCGTCCTCAGAGAGACGCTGGCCCAGGATCTCTCAATTAACACCATACAGGAAAGGATGTTGTCATGTTCCGCCCAGAACTCTTTAACGGTTAAATCTGCATCTGAGACCATCTGGAAGCACAAGTGGCCGGCAGTCACATCATAACCCAAGACTTTAGTCACAAGTTAAAACTGAAATTCTGGTAATAACCCAAGTTTTTTAACTGGCAGGCCAGTTGTAGCTTGAGAGTCTGCTTTATTTCATTGGTTTACATGTCTATTTTTGTCTTGGTACCATGCTGTTTTTTTTTTTTTTTTTTTTTTTTTTTTATTCCTGTAACTTTATAATGTAACTTGAA